CTCATTCATTAGTGAGACGTACTTCATGTTATTCATCTGTTTCATTCTGTTGATTATTTCATTTTCTAACTATTTCTGGATTATTACTCATTCTATAGATAATGTTAATATAATCCAATGAAAATTTTAATGTAAGTATAATTTAATGTTTGTATTTTATTTTTTCAAGATTATATATAATTTATTTTCATTCATTCAGAGAATTTAGGTGGAAATATAAGCCACAAATTTTTATAATTTATTGTTTATATAATCATATTAGCTTTATTTAGTCAATTTGATAAAGAATAATAGTTATAATAATAATAACCTGAATGCATTTAACTATTTTGTTTGATTCTAATAATTTATTTAATTTAATAAACAAGAAAAATTCTGACTAATTAATTAAAAAAAATCTTTTATTAATTTCTTTTTTTTATTTATTACTATTGATATATTTGATATTTAATTAATTTAATTCAATAAATATATTAAATTGATCCTATTTTGTTATTTCAATTAATTTCACGTGTTATTATTAATCTTGTATTATTGCTGATTTATTGCTTAGTTTAATTTAGCACTAATTTGACGTTCTGGACTTGCAAATAGTTCTTATTTCTTAGTTTATCATCTTAGTTTTACCAATATATTAAAAAAGATGAATCTATCTGTGAGAAAAGATACTTGCGTAAGGTCAGGTGTGTCAGATATATAAGTTACTGCCTAAAAAAAGGTATGCATTCTGTAATAGCCTGATCTATTCTAAGACTAACTTTTATATAATGCATGCTAAATCTGTTTATAAGAAAAACTGGCTAGAGAAGCACAAAAAGAGTGGGTAGGATTAATAACTTTGAAGGAATTTAAATATCCGTAATAAAATAAAAGTGAAGTTTTAAGATTATTAATATTAAAATTACCTTATATGGATTATCTATCCTGCTAATATATTAAGAAAGATATTTCAAAATTACCTCATATGAATCATCTAATCTGCCAATATATAAAGAGAACTGATTTGATTTGTAAGAAAGGTGCTGACATGAATTAGGATGTTTCAGATATTTTAATGCCTATTCTAGAATAATATATCCTATCTATAAGAAGAAAACCTATTCTGATATTGAAATCTGTAGTATATATAGTGGAATTTATGATTATGTCTGACGTGAAAATAAAAAAACTAAAATAAAATCTAATATGGTCAAGACTTAGCTAAATAACGATCTAGGCTGAAGTATAATTTGTCTTGCCTTATAGAATTAAAGAGTTTCTGAGTATTATTATCTGTTTTTAACTTATATGGTGAAAATTCTGATATACCTTTATCTTCAAAATTAAAATCATCATATGGTTAGCGATTAATTCAGTATGAATGTTCTCATACTTATTTTTCTTTAAGTCCTATTTTTTCCTATTTATCTTAGTATAGTCACACTAATTTCTAGCAATTATATTAATTGTTCTTATAGCTAAGTTAAAATTTGATATTACCTAATAATGAGACTTGAAGCTGAAGAGTAATAGAAATTGATCTAGAAACTTTATAAACCTTTCACAGAATCGTATAAATACTTCTGATACAATATTACTAAAAAGAGTATGCTTATCATCTATACCTATAAAATATAATATCTTAAAAAGTTTCTGTATAACTTTTTAATGATTTACCGAATATGATTTGTGCAAGTCCTCAATTATTGATTTCTTAATATCCTCTTCAGCTTTATAATGGGTATCTTCTTATTATATAATATCTTTGGTCTCTAATCCTATTATTAAGCTCTTCTCATTATATCCTTATTTTTGAAAGTAGGATAATTGCAAGAAATGTTTTTGAGGTTCAGGTGAACTGAAATATTTTACAAACTTTTTATTACAAAGATTATCTCAAATCTTATCTTTCATATCTTTACTATCATAAATATTTCATATATAGAAACATTTAAGTGCTATAGTATCTGAGATAGAATATTCTTGGTCAAACTTAAGATTTTCAGCTTCTTCAGAATCAAGATTCTGAGAAGTAGCAATCACATTAAAATTTGTTTTCTTAATAATTAATACTTCAATCTTAATCTCATTGCGAACTTTTTTACGATTTTCTATAACTTCTTAGCTTTTATTCATTTTTATAAGTTGAAGAGAAGTGTCTATACTAGCTATAAGACTGCATAATATTTCAATAAAATTTCTTGCAAAAAGACACTTCTGTTACTTGATTTCAAGATATGATATTACAGTAAATGATTAATTAAGTTTATATGATACAATATTTTTATCACATTTATGATGTCTCCTTATTACTATAGGTAAATCATTAGGTTAAACACTTTTAAGTTCAGCAGGTGAAAAAAGTCACTGGAATTTTTTTGATAATAGGAGAATAGTATATGCTTCTTACAATCACAAATTTGAAATATCATTTAAACAAAAGCTTTGATATTAACTGAGTAACAATATGGTAAGCGATCAATAGAAAAGGGAAAATCTACAAATTTTGAGTAATTTTATTTATTAAGCTAGTTTTGTTCACATGATCATGATCAGTAGAGTGAACCAATAAAAAAATTTTTGACTAAAAAGTGGATTTCCCCCTTTTCTACTGACTACCCCCCATATTAGTAATGCTTATAACTATATCAAAGTAGTCAGTCTTTTTAAAAGATATACTTGCTTTCACTGTACTCATATAAGCTACACAATCAAGTTTATTCCAAGAAGTATTTATATCTGAAAAGTTTTTTTTTTGTTGTTTTCTATCTATATTCTATAATAAGCTTAAGCTCTGATAGGAAAATTATCAGGTCTTTGTAATTTAGAGGCTTTTTCTACTAATATTCAAGTCATATTATAACTAGTTAAAATAATGCTACATGCTTTTTCTGCTATAAAAGCTCATATTCTATTCACATAACTTCAGCTTTACTATTTAGATCATAAAAGTACTCAACGGATTTGCCTACAAGTAGCTGAAATTTATTGTCAATCACTTGAATATTTTTATCATAATAAGCTTTGAGAAAACTTAAAGTTGATTATTTGCAAAAGCATCCATTATGAGTATATGCTAAGTAGTTTTTAATACATCAAGCATTGTGTTTTCAGATTCTTGTGCATTTGCATCACTTTTTATTTGGTAGAGAATTATATTAGTTTTATCCAAAATAGCTATTACTGGGTGGGCTAAGAATTCAATATAAGAAAGATTCTCAATTTAAATTATGATAATATCCCATTTATCTACAGATAAGTTTGATTTATTTTGATAATTACAGATTCTGAGTCCAGTTGATTTAAGATCATTAATTTTGCCTTTTGATTCATTACTAAAAGTTTTTTGATAAGAAATTTAGATAATGCAAAATAATTTAACTTTACTTTTGGCTAAGAAATTGATATGTTTTCTTAAACCTTTTGTTTTTTCATCATCATAAGAGCATGAACTAAAGTTTTATTGGATTCCACACTCAAGAAATTGGAATAAACTTCTGAAAAATCTTCTATCTCCTTTATATTAAATAACTTCTCTAAAGAGTTTAGAAAATGAATATGAATTTAATATGGCATTAGCCATTCTATCAACAATTTTTTGTTTAGGTTTTTCTTTTAGCTTGATTACATCTGATACTTTCTTAAATACTAATCCTTTATGGTCAGATTTATATTATTTTTGCTGATAGCATTTGAGTACAAAACATCTATTTTTTAGAAGAAAGTCATATAACTGATCTCTTTCGTATTTGATATTACAAATAGGATATACTTCTAATGATTTCACTTGAAAGTTAACAAATTCTTTTCTAATGTTATCAATCTCAAGCCATTCATATTTTGCATCAACTTAACTAGCTCCCTTACTTAAAGCAGTTTCATCTTTGATAAGCTAGAATTTCTCTTCTCTTTTTGGCTTTTCAAAAAAAAGGTTCAGGATCAGATTTCAGAATAATTGGATTAGAATGAACTAATAATCTTTTAACTTATGATATCCTTTCTTAATTAAAGAAATTGCAAGACTTTTAACTTTATCTTTTTTTGCTAATCTAAGAAGCTGAAGACTGAAGCGTGATTTATAAAGATCTATGTCAATGAATTTTGAGTATAGTTCTCTAACTTTCTCAGCAATTTTTTTCACAAAACTCTCAAAGTCTCTATAATCAATAAAATAGGCATAAGGATAAATAATATGCCAACTGCATTTATTAGCATTAGATGAACTAGCTAAAGTAAAAGCATTTAAAATTATAAAATGATATAAATTAGAATATATAATATCAGCACAGGCAATTAAGATTTTAGATAATAAATCTTTGTGAGAAATTTTATATCCATCTAAGAAAGAGAGTTTAGGATTTATGAGATTGAATTTTTGTCTCATATCAATATTCAGAATTAAGCGAAAAAGCAAATTTCTATCAATGCATTCATGAGTATTGGGTATTTCATAGATTTCAGACAAGTGATCAATTACTGTAAAACATTTTCTTATAACCTGAATTATATATTTATCAAAAATCTCTTCAGATAATAAGCTCCTAAAAGAGAGATATCATTTTTATTATTAAATAAGTATTGAAAATACACATGATTTTTATAATCAGACTTATAATTAAGGTCTGCTAAACCAGAGAAAAGTCTAATTGCTTTATTTATTATGTTAAAATTAGGCTTAGCATTTTTTTATGCAAGTAACATAATAGTATATACAAGAAACTAATATAAATTACATAGAAATTTGTAAAGTTCAAAATAAAAAATATAATATGTATGACCTAAAAATGAAACATAATAATAAAAATGCGTAAAGCTTTATTTGATCTCTAATCTAATTACTAGCATAAATATGCAATAAATATATTAAATAATATTATTATTAAATGTAATGCAATAATATTCTGATATAGTAATTATGTAGGAATAAAGTCTAAAAGCCAAAAATATGTGAAATTATGGTGACCCAATTTGGAAAAAAAAGTTATACTTGAGTAGATCACCAATATGAAGAGAAAAAAATTATGAGTCACCAATTCAGAAAGAAAAAAGTTATACTTGAGTAGATCACCAATCCAGAGAGATAAAGTTTAAAAACTAAAAACATGTAAAATTTTAGTGACTTACTTAAGCAGAATTATATATAGAAAAGAAAAAAGAAAAATTATACTTGAGTGAATCACTAATCTGCCTCATTCTGGAGATGTTGTAAAAACAGGATTGACAAAAATAATACATTATTTCAGGATTATTGATTCAGCACTTTGTGTCTTATTCTTAGTAATTAAAAGAATCACAAAAGGTAAGATTACAAGAATAGTATAATATCGGCACTTCACATATGCTTAACTGACAATTAAAAAATGAGTAAATAGATTGCGATATATTTTTAGCAAATAAATAGATTGCAAATTCAGCACTTTATATCTTATCTGATAATCAAGAAATAGTAATAATTTTAAAGTAGCTATGTGAGAGTATTCTAATATTAGAATAGTATCATATAACTAGTACAATAAGATGTAATATGAATTTGTTTAATTTTAGTTAGGGCCCCAGAAATTTTCCTGAAAAAGTTTATTTTTTGCCTAAATTTTAGAACGCAATAACTTAGCATCTAAATATCCAATTTATGCAGTCTTAGCATTATTGAAAAACTCTTAATGTCTTCTTTCAAATAACTATAAAATTACGCAAATCTAATCACAAAAAGCTAAGATATTCTACCTTAAAGATTAGGTCAAAAATATAGTATAGTGTTGGTTAAAATCTGATCTGCAAAATTACTGTATCACCTGATTATAATATGATTTTTTGTAATTAAAGTCAGTTTAGTATCTTGGTCACAAAAAGGCCACAAAGCAATAAGAACAAGTGGATAGCTGAAATGAAATAAAAAGAAAATAAAGCAATAAAATCAAGTGTATATCTATAAAGCAATAAAAAGGTTACAAAGCAATAAAATCAAGTGGATAATAATAAAGTAATAAAAAGATCATAAAATACTACAAATAGTAATTAAGTAATATTATACTCATAACTAAATAAAAATTTACTTATAACTAAGTAACAGTTTAATGTAACTGGATTGTAATATATATATATTATAATCCAGTATTGTAAATAGATACTGAGATAAAATAAGATTTGAGAAAAAATATATGATACTTTTCTTCTATCTTCAAAAAAAATTTTAAGTAAAAACTCTTCTATATGAATATGAGTTTTGAGCCAAACTTAATTATTGTTTAATTAGTTATATGTTTCAGTTTACCTAATTAATACTTAGATAATAATAACTAAATCATTTTAAAATATATAATAAAAAGAATTTGTTCAATTTGATAAATTTAAAATTACAAACAAATAATATCTGATGAAGAAATTTTAAAGACAATTATACAGTCAGACTTTTATATAGTCACACAATTAGTTTCACCAAAATCAGTGATTATATAAAGGTGTGATTGTAAAAAAGTTACCTTTATATAATCATAACTATATTATAATTAAATAGATAGTGACTATTTAAAGATTAAATTAATATTATTAAGCTTTATATCATCTATTTATATGTCATATAATACATTTATGAAGCAAAAAATGTTAAAAAATAAAACACTAATTCTCATTTGTTAATTTACATGACGTAATAAATAAAAATCATCATATGACTAACAATTTCTACAATTTCTCTAATATGTAACAGAATCTATAAATATTATATTTTTCACAGTGCAGTTGTGAAAATTTTAATTCTGTAAAATTAGCGTTTGATATTATGAAAAATGTTATTGTGTACTTTATTCATTTGCCATGATTGTTGTGACAGCTCCTTAAGAATTGTGATATAATCTTTATTAAGTCATGTAAAAAAGATATTATCAGATTACATAATTTCCTATTTAATTTTCATAATTACTAAAAAAATCAGTGATCAGAGCTTGCTTTCGAGATTGAACTTCAAGCTACCTTACTACATTTAAGTATTTTTTAAAGACATAACCATCTTCAATGTTAAATTTATTAATAGACTGTTTATCAAAAAAGGTAATCCAAGTTTGTAAAGATTTGAGAGAAATATTAATATTATTTCTTTTTCAGTATCATCATTAGTATCATCATCATCTTCATATATTTCCTTTTGGACCAATTGTATAATATCATCATCATTTAAAATATCTTCAATTAGAACTTCTTTTAATTCCTGAAAATAATTAGTTAATGCATTTTTTAATAAAGCATTATAAGGATCATCATTAAGTTTTTCAATTTCTTCTATTATTTGATTAAACTTAACTTCCTCATGATCTGCTAAATCTTGTTAGATTTGTGTTGCATTACCTATATCTTCATATGTTGAAGAAGGCAAAATTCTGATTTTTTTCCAACAGTTGTGAATGGTTTCTTCAGTTACTTACTTCTATGCATCCACTAAATAATCAATTGCTTTTTTAATATTAATTTTTTCTTTGTAAATATCTTTTTCATCTTCAAATAAGTTTAACATATGATGGCAAAAATTTCTCTTATAATAGTTTTTAAAGCTTGCAATAATTCCAGCGTTAAGTGGCTGAAGATAACTTGTAGTATTAGAAAATAAAAAGGCTACTTCAATATGAGTTAATTAAAATTGAGAGATATTAGGACTACCACAACCTTTACCACGATCATTACTACAACCTCTACTTGTTCACCATTACGGCCTTTACCACAACCTCTAGATCTGCTTGATTCACCATACAGCTTTTATTACAATCTCTAGATATACTTGGTTCACCATTAAAGCTTCCTAAAGCTTAACCTTCTATATTAAAAAATTCTAGTAAGTTAAATATTTAACGATTATATTATATTTATTATGGTAAACAAATTTTTTATTTTTTATTTTATTTTTATTATTAATTTATTAATTTTTTATATTTTTTTATTTTATTTTTTTTTATTGTTTTTATTTAAATAATATTATAAATAAAATATATATATATATAATATAAATTAAATAAACTAATAAACTAAATGGCTTTGTAAATTAACTTTCTGATAATTTGATGATAAACTTTATATTTAAAGACTAATTCATAAATAATAGAGTTTATAAGTGATAACCCATTTTTCTTTATAAAACTTACTAGAAGTTGATGTGAATTCAGTCTCTTCATTAGCATTATCTTTATCTTGCTTATTTGATAAATTTAGATCAAAATGTGATGAAACATTATCAATCAGAAACAAAATTTTTTTATTTTTTTGCTCTAAAGTAACTATCCAATTTATGGAGTACTTCTTTAAAAATCATCGAGTTCATCTATGCTTTCAAATTTCCACAGTAATAAACTGGAAGTCTTTTCATGTTAATTTTTAAAAGAGGTTTTAAACACTTTACGTTACTAATTACCATAGTTTGAGCTTATCAGTTCCTATTGCATTTGTACCAAGAAGGATTGTGATTTGTGTTTTGTGTTTTGTTTTTTTTTTCATCACAAACTGGCTTAGTTAAAAGGGTTTGATTTAGAGACATCTGATAATAAAGACTCATTTCATCAATATTATAAATTTATCAAGAGTATATTAGCTTAGAAGTTGATGAAATTTCATCTTTTCTTTCAGAAGAGATGCTATTGGTGCACTTCTAAATTCTCCATCTTTTTGTATGTTGAATGCATTGGTAAAAACCTCACCTTCTCTTTTATTAATAAATCTGTTAAGATCATATCACCTGCTATTACACTTTCTATTCACAAACACACAGCCTTATCAAGTTCTGAAAACTTGACCCCTTTATATTTGTAAATTTTCTTAGAACTTCAATATCTAATGTGAAATTCCATTTTTCACTTTGTGATAGTATCTTTATTACTGTATTATGATAGATGTTTAAAGTTAGATTTTTTCATTAAAATAGTCAGCAATTTCTTTGTGTTTTTTATTTTTTATTATTTTTTGACCATTCATAAATTTGATGCTTGAGGCTAATGTTTATGGCTGAATAGTGTTATTTGAGTCAGTCAGGAGGTATTATAATATTCAAAAATTAGGGAGGATAACTAACAATGATAATGGTAATATCATTATGAACTACTACTTGAGTTAAAATAATAAGGATGTAAATTTGTTAGAAGAGGTTTATCATAGATAACAAGAGATCATTCAGAAATAATTTTGAAAAGGGGTTTTTAAAGGAATCAATAATATTTTAACTACTTAATATTTCCAATAAAAGCATATTAACATTTTAAACATCACTCTTTTTATTAATATGAATGATGTAGGAAAAAAACTATTGTTGTGAAATGAAAATGATTATGCTATTGATTTTTTCTACTTTAAATATGTTATATAACATATTTTCTCTTATATTATATTTTAAAATTAAGGCTTTATATCAAATTTTTTGATCTGCAGCTAATCAAATCTCTTCAATATAAGCTAATCAGAAATCTGTGACTATAAAAAGGTCTAATTACTAATAAAATGATATGCACATTATAGATCATGAGGTGATAGTGACTATAACTGATTTGTAATTATATAGAGGTAATTTAATAAGCTTTAAATCTGTTTTGAAAAAATGAGTTTTTATATAAAGGTGTAATTATATATAGTGTGATTATATAGAGATCTGACTGTACTTAATAAATAATATAAGAAAAAAGAAGAGGATCCTTTATCAACTATTATTTATATTGAAGCTATTGAATCTTTTGATAAAATAATTTTATATTTGGAACAATAGAAAGAAGTGAATAATAAAGAGTTAAAGTTAATTAAAATATTTAAAAAATAGTAGTTTATTTTTGTATAATAAATCAATTTTAATTGTTTTATTAAAATCTTTTTATTTTTTATTTTTTTATGTATTTTTTTATGTATAATTTAGTTTTTTATTTATTACATATAATTTGTTTTACATTAATAATTTTAGTATTTTTTTCATGTTTTAAATAAAAATATAATAAAAATAGTAAGAGATGATAATAGTATGATAATGACATTATATTGATTAAATAACATTTCCTATGATCATGTTAAAATTTTGTTGAAATTTTATTGAAATTATGTTAAGAATTCACATTGTTTTTTATTAATTTTTAACTAATTTTTTATTAAATTTGTATTGATATTGCTTATGGATTTTACTAAATTGTAATAAATAATTTTATAATGATTTTTATTTATTACTGAAATGATGATTTGTAATTATTAATTTCTAATTGTTTGATGTATTATATTTATTAAATTCACATAAGTATAAATTATTTTTGAATTGATTTAATTTTTTATAAATAATATAATATATAATTATAATATGATACTTAGATTATTATTTTAACTTTTTTATTTTTAATATAAATCAGAATTTTGATTATGAAAAATTTTATTATATTATTTCAATTATAAAATTTACTTGTTATATATTTAAATTGATTTAATTTTTATAAATAATACAATTTATAATTATAATATGATATTTAAATTATTATTTTGATCTTTTTTTTTTAATAAAAAATCAGAATATTAATCAAGGTTATATTATTTCAATTATAAGTATAGAATTTCACAAGATATTAAATTGAATGGATAAATTTATTTATAAAGAGAAGTATTTTTTATATTATATAATTTTTCATTTTTTGAATCTTAAGTTATTAAATTTCATCTTTAAATTTTTTTTAAATTAAATGAAATATAATTATAAAAAATAATTTAAATGATAATAAAATAGATTTATTAGTCAAGAAAGAAAGAAAAGAAATGAAGAGTAATATATTAGATATAAAGACAATAGATAAGTTCTGGTAAATTGCAACCTAACGAATAAATTACAGATATAATTTAACATATTCTATTTACTAATGTGAGTAAAAAATAAAGGAATTTAGTATGTAATTATAATATAAATAAATAAATAAGAATATAATAATAAATATAATTTATTAGTATAATTAATATCTATTAAGACTTTTGCGATTATCAAAATAGAGCAAGAAGAAGTGAGAGGTAGACTATACAGTAAAAAGATTATACAACTTATTCAGAACTTAATTTTAGAATAGATCAGATAATAATTATAATAATTAAACATTTAATTGATTTTTTAAATTTATATTAAAAATATTTATTTTTTTAAAATTAAGGTATACTCAAAAGAAAAATTGTGATTTGTCTATTATAAAATAAATTTATAATATGCAAATTACAAGACAAAATCATAATATATCTACAAGATGATAATCATAAAAAATTTTTTATTTCATTTTTAACTTTTTAAAATTTTATTTTTTTATTTCGTTTCATTTACTTAATTTCATTTTTTTAATTTTTATTTTATTTTCTTAATTTCATTTTATAGTTTTATTTAATTTTCTTAATTTTGTATTTTATTTTATTTAGTTTTCTTAATTTTATTTTATTTTATTTTTTTATTTATTTTTAATTTATTTTAAAAAAATTATTATATAACAATTAATAGATTGCATGTTAAAATAAAATGATTAGAATTTACAAAATAATGTGTAATAAAAACCTAATCGATCTAGATATCAAATTCGTTATATTGTTTAAACTTTATATTATAGCTCAATCCTAAGCTTAAGATTTAGAGCTAAATATATACTTTCTATATTTTATATGTACAAGCATTTTAAGCACTATAATACCCTTTATAAATATATTTATGTGATTAATATATAATAATAATCAATTAAAAATAACTATATATAGTCAATTCTTTATAAATGCACTTCCCTTAAAACTAGGTATAAAGGTACATTTAAAGAGAGTATGCATTTATAAAATATATATAAATCCATATAATACTAATTTAAAATTAAGATAATATAAAAAATTTATAAGTAAACTATATAAAATTTTTTATAAAGAGTGTATTTACAAAAAGTATATACAGTCGACCCTCTCTACAATCACACCCTTCAGGATCACCTTATGGTGTGATTGTATAGAGGTATGCTTATATGCGATTATGTAATTAAATACTGGTATTAATGTATTTATTTTATTACATCTATTACATCTATAGTTTATCTATAGTTTATCATTATTTTATTCATTGT